CCTTATTGAAAGACAATTGAGCTGTCTCCTAGACAAAGCCTTGTGCACCTTCCCTAACAGAGGGTCTAACCAAGCAGGCAGGATGGGGTTATAAAGTAGGTGGGGAGGTGGAAGAGACTCCACCTTCCCAGGTGGGCTGAGAACAGAGGTAAGGCCCTGCAACAGGACGGAGGGAAAGTGGGGATGAGAGATGAGAGGCGAGATAGCACCTCCCCATCTCCTGGGAGGCTGGGCTCTCTGCTGTCTTTGCCTCCACTGACCAACCACCATCTGTTCTTGCTCAGCCCCCTCCTCCATTTGCCACTGACCTGTTGGCCTCCGCCAACCTCTGAGCCTGCTTCTGCCTGGGTAATTTCCCAAGACCTAGGAGGGGTGAGGGGTGAGGTGTGATTGCCCCCATCCCTTTGCCTCCCACAGCATCTGCTCTGGGACCATGAACAATAGCTGACAGCTCCATGGCCTTTGCTGTCCCCATCTCAGCTTCCCTGGGCATCCAAACCTCAGCTGCCCTGGGGTAAGAGGACGGGCTGAGGAAGCAGAAGCCTGAGGCTGTCTAGAGTCTCACTCTTGCATCAGCAGGCCACCACCTGTGTTTCCTCCTTGTGCAAATTTGAAAAGAATTGCATGAAACACTGGAGAAATCCAAGAGGGGAAGTCCATAAGAGCGGTGGTTCCCTAAGTGATCACAGAGCAAGCTGGTGCCAGAGCCTGGACCTAGAGTGCTGTTGGTGGGAAGCAGGAGGAGGGTCCTGCCTCCAGGTCAGGGAAGGGTTCCCTCTTACCTCTACAGGCAGCGCATGTCTTGGCTCAGCTGCCCTGTGGTGGATGCGGGGTGGGGAGGGCAGAGATCTGGGCCTGGGAAGGGGACAGTACACACTCTCGTGGCTGCTACCCCTCCCTCAGGCCTTGTCCACCTCTGACTGTGGCTCTCTGGCAGGAATAGATGGACATGGCCTGGCAGATGATGCAGCTGCTGCTTCTGGCTTTGGTGACTGCTTCGGGGAGTGCCCAGCCCAGGAGTGCACGGGCCAGGACGGACCTGCTCAATGTCTGCATGAACGCCAAGCACCACAAGGCACAGCCCAGTCCCGAGGACGAACTGTATGGCCAGGTGAGGGCAGCCTGGTGGAGGACAGCATGCACACAGGTCAGAGGGTGACGGCATGAGCAATGGCAGGTCCAGTGTCCTCAGAACCCAGGGTGCCGCTGCCGACAAGGAAGGGGAGGGGCGGCCGGGGCCGCCATGCCACAGGTGAGGCCACTGAGGCAGCTCGGGGAATATGAGCTCCAATTTGAACTTCAGGCTCAGGAGAGTGCCTATATTTTATTATTCTGGTCTCCTGGCCTGCTCCCTACAAGGGTTCACATTCCCAGAGGGCTGGGAATGTGCGCAGGGAGAGACTGTGGCAGGGACACAATCTGTGGGTTAAAGCGAAGAGAGGACAGTCTGAAAGCCCCATGACATCTGAGTCATTCCCAACATTCCATTTGCTTATTTTTAAATCGGGATTAAAAAAAAAAACACCCAAATACATAACATACATTTTCCATTTGAGCCATTTTTAACTGTATTCAGTGGTATTAAGTATGCTTATGTGGTTGTGCAACCGTCACCACCATCCCTCTCCTGACCTCTTTCATCCACCAAAACTGAAACGGAAACTCTGTGCCCACCACTTCATTTGCTTTTCAGAACATTCTAGAGCACATCCTCCTTGCCAGGAAATGGTGTGGATGTAGACCTTTGAGAGAGACAGATGACTATCATTCTCAAGGCCATGAGCTATATGAGAGTGATGATATTTGTTGAGCCCCTACTATAGCAACGGAGTTCTTCTCATTGTACTCAGTAACTCTTTTGGAGGCAGCAACCCTTGACCCTGACAGGCAAGACCCATGTCTGCCAAACCCCAAGACCCATGATGTGCAAGGGTCTTGCAGGAAGACCAGGAGTTGGGACATCCAAGGAAAAGCAAGTGTGAAGTCAGGCTGGCGGGAAAGCATGTTCTGTGTCAGCCCGCACTGGGCGTGGGCCAGGGTGTGGGAGATGGGTAGATCTGGCTCGACTCCCATGGATTTCTTTACTGTTTCTCCTGGGTGCTCAGACCTGTCACGCCTCTGCCATCACTTGACCTTAGGTGCGAGGGTTCATCCCAGAAAATTTAAGCAATTGATTCATGATTTCTCAGGTTTTCTGAGTCCTGACCTAGAGTGATTTCCAAAGAGAAACCTCCACCATTTCTGCTTATCTTACCTGCCTTGTATTTACCTTTCTAGGATTCCTTTTCCACATTTAGTCAAATCTAGGTTCAGACCCACATGCAGGCTACAGCTCCTTCATTCTGCACCACTCTCAGGATCTATCTAGAGTCTCCCCACCTGGACCTCCAGACCCTGGGAGAGCCAGACCAGGCCCTTAACCTCCACCCACCACACAACCTGGGACAGGTTCTTCTCCTCCCTGTCCTCAGTTAAAAAAAAAAATTTTTTTTTTTTTTTTTTTTTTTGAGATGGAGTTTCACTGTTGTTTCCCAGGCTGGAGTGCAATGGCGTGATCTTGGCTCACTGCAACCTCCGCCTCCTGGGTTCAAGTGATTCTCCTGCCTCTGCCTCCTGAGTAGCTGAGATTACAGGCGACTGCTACTGTGCCCAGCTAATTTTTTGGGTATTTTTAGTAGAGACAGGGCTTCTCTATGTTGGTCAGGCTGGTCTCGAACTCCTAACCTCAGGTGATCTGCCCGCCTCCTTAAATCTTAACTTCACTATTTACCCTGGGTGTAGCTTACTTAAACTCTGTAAAAATGGGGCCGGGCGCGGTGGCTCAAGCCTGTAATCCCAGCACTTTGGGAGGCCGAGGCAGGCGGATCACAAGGTCAGGAGATTGAGACCATCCTGGCTAACACGGTGAAACCCCATCTCTACTAAAAAAATACAAAAAACTAGCCGGGTGTGGTGGCGGGCGCCTGTAGTCCCAGCTACTTGGGAGGCTGAGGCAGGAGAATGGTATGAACCCGGGGGGCGGAGCTTGCAGTGAGCTGAGATCACGCCACTGCACTCCAGCCTGGGGCACAGAGCAAGACTTCGTCTCAAAAACAAAACAAAACAAAACAAAACAAAAAATGGGGGTAAGGATTCATACTGGGTCATTGAGAGAATAAAGCGCAAAAGCCTTGGGGACTTTGCACCTACGGTGTTCTATGCCTGAGTGTTCTTTGTCTCCCTTCTATATACAGCCCACCCACCCACTAAAACCATACCCTCCCTGAGGGTAGAGATGTTACTGGTTTTCTTCACTGTGGTATTCCTAGGACCTAGTACAGTGCCTGATGTCTAATAAGCACTCAGTTAATATTGGCTGGATGCAAAATGAATAATATAAATAAGCTGAATAACATGAAATAGACCGGACGTGGTGGCTCATGCCTGTAATCCCAGCACTTTGGGAGGCCAAGGCGGGTGGATCACCTGAGGTCATGAGTTCAAGACCAACCTGGCAAACATGGTGAAACCCCATCTCTACTAAAAATACAAAATTAGCTGGGCATGGTGATGCGTGCCTGTAATCCCAGTTACTTGGGAGGCTGAGGCAGGAGAATTGCTTGAACCCGGGAAGTGGAAGTTGCAGTGAGCCAAGATCATGCCACTGCACTCCAGCCTGGGCAACAAGAGCAAAACTCTGTCTCAAAAAAAAGTTAGTTTAATAACACGAAATAACTTTTTAAACCGTTAAGAGCTGTACTACTAGTAATTACTCTTCCACACAGTGGCTCCACGTCATCTCCTATATCCCCTGTATTACCCACTCGTAAAAGCCAAAATTAAGTAAGCATGGTGGCTCACGCCTATAATCTTAGTATTTTTGGAAGCTGACATGAGCCAAGGAGTTTGAGACCAGCCTAGGCAACATAGTGACACCCCACCTCTACAAAAATATTTTATATTAGCCAGGCATAGTGGCATGTGCCTGAATCCCAGCTCCTCGGGAGGCTGAGGTGGGAGGATTATTTGAGCCCAGGATGTTGAGGCTGCAGTGAGCTATGATCACACCACTGCACTCCAGCCTGGTCAACAGAGCAAGATCCTGTCTCAAATAAATAAATAAATGAATAAACAGAAGGAAAAGCACCAATACTGTAACTGCCTCTGTCCCCAGGTGGGGGCTCCTCAAGGGCCCCCTTTTCAAGGGGCCTCCCCAGGAAGTGTTCCTCTGGATGACCTACCTGGGGCAGAGGAGCCAGAATATGGAGGAGATGGCTGTGGTGGGGAGAGATTTAATCCTGTGTCTTCCCCACCCAGTGCAGTCCCTGGAAGAAGAATGCCTGCTGCACGGCCAACACCAGCCAGGAGCTGCACAAGGACACCTCCCGCCTCTACAACTTTAACTGGGACCACTGTGGTAAGATGGAGCCCGCCTGCAAGCGCCACTTTATCCAGGATGGCTGTCTCTATGAGTGCTCACCCAACCTGGGGCCCTGGATCCGGCAGGTATGTGTGCCATTCCCATAAACATGAGCCTCAGCAGAGGGCAGAGCCTGCCAGCCACTTGCAGGGAGAGCTTGGTCCAGGAATTCGGGTCTGAGGGTGGTGGACGCCCTGCCCCCTCCCACAGCTCTGGTCCCCTTCGAGGATAAAGCTGCTGAGACACGTGGCTGACAGGAGCGGTTCCGTCTCCTCCCCACTCAGGTCAACCAGAGCTGGCGCAAAGAGCGCATCCTGAATGTGCCCCTGTGCAAAGAGGACTGTGAGCGATGGTGGGAGGACTGTCGCACCTCCTACACCTGCAAAAGCAACTGGCACAAAGGCTGGAATTGGACCTCAGGTGAGGGCCGGGAGGAGATGAGATGAGGAGTGGGGGTGGGGCTTTAGGGTTGGGAGGGGTGCAGTCTGGCCCAGAAGCTCAGGGTCTTATGTTCTCCTCCCTCAGGGATTAATGAGTGTCCGGCCCGGGCCCTCTGCCGCACCTTTGAGTCCTACTTCCCCACTCCAGCCACCCTTTGTGAAGGCGTCTGGAGCCACTCCTTCAAGGTCAGTAACTACAGTGGAGGGAGCGGCCTCTGCATCCAGATGTGGTTTGACTCAGCTCAGGGCAACGCCAATGAGGAGGTGGCCAAGTTCTATGCTGCGACCATGAATGCTGGGGCCCCGTCCCGTGGGGGATTATTGGTTCCTGATCCAAGAAGGGTCCTCTGGGGTTCTTCTGACAACCTATTCTACTAGACAAATCCACGTGTCTTGTGTCTTGTAATCTGGGGATGAGTGGGTTGGAGGGACACATTGCTTCATCTTTCCTACTGATAGGCCCTGAATCAGGCTGGAACTGGCTTGATGTTCACTGGGAAGCAGGGTGTGGAGGTTGAACCAGAATCTAGGTATCTATCCCTTAGTCTGGTTCTCCTGAGACCCTCCCCCTCACACCAAGCTCATTACTCCCACACTACACATGGACAAGGGCACAGGTGGAGGGGAGATGGGCAGAAACAGGAGATGAGTTATTTGGCTTCAGGTGGGGAAGACAGTTTATTTCCCCTTCCCTGACTAGATGTGGGCTGGGAGGAGATACTGGTTGGAGAGGAGGGTCTAATTGATAAACACCTGCCTTGTTTTTATTTGTTTGAGACTGAAGTCTTGCTATGTTGCCCAGGTTGCTCTTGAACTTCTGGGTCCAAGTGATCTTCATTCCTTGGCCTCCCAATGTGCTGGGATTATTGGGATAGGTCACTGTGCCTGACCTACTTTTTTTTTTTTTTTTTTTTTTCGAGACTGGGTCTTGCTCTGTGGCTCAGGCTGGAGTGCAGTGGCATGATCTTGGCTCACTGCAGCCTCTGCCTCCCATGTTCCAGTGATTCTCCTGCCTCAGCCTCCTGTGTAGCTGGGACTACAGGCGTATGCCACCAGGCCTGGCTAATTTTTGTATTTTTAGTAGAGACGGGGTTTCACCATGTTGGCCAGGCTGGTCTCGAACTCCTGACCTCAGGTGATCCACCTGCCTTGGCTTCCAAAAGTGCTGGGATTATAGGCATGAGCCACTGAGCCTGGACCTACTTTTTAATAAATGACAAGTAATGCTGCAATTAACAATCTTGTACCGGCTGTTACAAGATTGTAACACTGGGCACTGTGAGCTCAGTGGCTCACGACTGTAATCCCAGCACTTCGGGAGGTTGAAGCAGGTGAATCACCTGAGGTCAGGAATTCAAGACTAGCCTGGCCAACATGGTGAAACCCCATCTCTACTAAAAATACAAAAATTAGCTGGGTGTGATGGCACATGCCTGTAATCCCAGCTACTCAGGAGGCTGAGGCAGAAGAATCACTTGAACACGGGAGGCAGAGGTTGCAGTCAGCTGGGATCACATCACTGCACTCCGGCCTGGGCTACAAGAGTGAAACTCCATCTCAAAACAAGCAAACAAAAATCTTGGACCTAGTGGAATGCTATACTTGAATTCCAGAAAGGGCTATTGGGTCAAGAATATGTATAATTTTGATAGTTACAACTTTATGGAGATTTTATCCATGTGACTCTGCAACCAGCAAAGCATGAGAGTGCCTGTTTCTTCGCTGGGTGTGATGGCTCACACCTGTGATCCAGCACTTTGAGATGCTGCAGCAGGAGAATCTCTTGACCCCAGGAGTTCAAGATCAGCGTGGGCAACATGGTGAAACCCCATCTCTATAAAAAACTAAAAAAATCAGCTGGGCATGGGTGTGTGCCTGTAGTCCCAACTACCAGAGAAGCTGAGGTGAGAGAATCACTTGAGCCCTGAGAGGTTGAGGCTACAATGAGCCGTGATTGTGCCACTGCACTCCAGCTTGGGCAACAGAGTGAGACCTTGTCTCAAAAAACAAAAAACAAAACAAAACAAAAAACAGAGAGAGAGAGAGTGATTGTTTCTCCACAACCTTGTCAACACAGTATGCCATCAAACTTTGGTTTTCTGCTTATCTTACAGGTGGGGAAAAGAGCATCTCAGTCAGTTTTCATCTGCCATTGTTCTGAGATCTTTCCATGTTGACCTATTGAGATCTTAAATTACTGGGTAATAATCCATTCTATGTGTACATCACATTGACTTCAGTCTACTGCTGATGGGCATTGGAAGGAATGGGGTTCTTTTACGATCTTGACATTGCTGAAAGCCACAGGCCAGTCATTTGGTAGAATACTCCTCCATTTGGGTTTGCCTGTTTCCTCATGATTCATTGAGGTTATGCATTTTGGGCACAAATACCTTACACAGTTACTCCGTGCATCATAACAGGAGGCACGTGGTGTGGGATTTGCCCATTCCTGGTGAGGTTAACTTTGATCTTTTGGTTGAGATTGTATCTGCCAGATTTCTCCACTACACTTTCCCCTTTTTAAGTAATAAATATGTTGTAGGAAGAGACTAGGGACTGTAGATACTCTATTCATCACCACACTTCCACCTACATGTTCCACTGTCTGATGGACCTTTTTTTAAAAAAGTAAAAACAAAACCGAACCATGTCTTACTACATTACAGCTCTTTCACCAACCCTTCAATGCTTTCCAGTGGTATCAACTGTAAAAACTAAACTTCTTCAAATTAGCACAGACCATGCCCCTCCTCTGAGCCCTCAAGCCAAATCTTCCCCACGCCACCCCATAAATGAGCTCCAGTCACACTTCTCATGTTGTGGGTCTTTGCTCCAGCAACTCCTCTGCGTTCCTGAAATGTTTTTCATTAATCCTCTGCAGGCTGACCTGTTGTGGCCACTTAGATGGTAACCTACAATTCCCTCCTAAAATGAGTTCTGAGCACTCAAACTCAAGAAGCCACCCAGCTGATTTCTCACCACACTATTCTGTGCCCTTGTGCGGACTTTTGTCTACTGTGTTTGTTGTCTGCCTTTTCCCTAACAAAACATACTCTCCCCAAAGCAGGGTTTTGTCTATGTCATTTTAAGCTACATCACCAGGGTCTGGGTCAGTGCCTGGCACCGAGAATGTGCTCAGTAAGTTAAGGAATCGCTGCATCCATTCTGTCAGTCAACAAGTCCTTCTGAGCATCCTGTCCACTGGCCCATGCTGGTCTCAGCTGACAGGAAGGGAACTGAGTTCCTTGCAAGGTCTGGCGGGGACAGACAGTTCTGAGAACCAGTGACTCTTAGAACAAGGAGATGAGGCTTTCACAGAGGGAAGCACAGAGTGTGGTGTTGTTCTGCTGAAGCCCAAAGAGGTCAGGGAAGGCTTCCAAAGGAATAATGTTTGCCAAGCACAAAACAGCACGGGGAATGGCATTCCATGGACAGGTCTCAGCAAGTGCAAAGGCTTAGAGGTAATAGAAGTGCAAGCAGAATTCCAGGGTGGCTGAGATAGGAGTTATGAGGGGAGTGGGCAGCAGTTAAGGCCAAAGAAGAAACACTGGATCTGCATTCCCTAGGACGGTGCCCTGTGGGCCCCTCACAAAGCTTCTCTCCTGCAACTGCTAGGTGCAAGAAGTCAGGCTTAGAATCAGACTGAGATCAGTAGTTCCTGCAGCTGGGAAGATGAGTGATGTGAGATTGCATGTGTGATAGGCTGGCACTCAGGGAAGAACTCAGGGTTCTCTCCTCCCCACTCTAAGGCCCCTCTCCTGCTTCCTGAAGCCCAGAGTCTCCACCTCGGTGAGTCAAACACCTTCCTGTTATCTGCCTGGTCCTAGGGCAATCTTTGGGTTGGGGTTAGAAGGAATGCCAATGGTTAACCTTGTGGTATTAAGCGCCCAGCTCAGGCAGATACTGTCTGGACTGGTCCGAGCTGACTGCCTGACTTCCCCTCCCTGCTGGTCCTAGCACCCAGACTCCAGATAGGAACACCACCTCCTTCGGAGCAGGGCTCTGAGACTCCACAAATGGTGAGGACTTACCAGAGGAACTGAACCTAACCTCCAACCCAACCTTCCACTTGCTGGTATTATTCTGAAGCCCTCATGGCCCCGGGGGCCTGGCTCAGGGGGCAGGTCTCACTCCTGCAGTGGAGGGGGCATAAAGTTCAGTTCATGATCAGCCCCCAGGCCAGGGGCAGAGGATGAGAGGGCAGGAGCTCCATCTAGAGGAGCTCCCATGTTCAGGTGTTCCTAGATACCTGCCTGCCCTTCTCCAATCAGCACTGGGGTATAAAGAAGGAAAGAGGCCTGAGGGTTCCAGAGGCCTCTACCTGCTGGGGTCTTCAGAGGACTCAACCCTCTGGGAAATACAAATACAATCCTCAGCCCTC